TAAGAGATTCCAAAGGCGCAGATATCTGAACCCCTCCCTCCTACACCATCTGTTTAGCCACATGTTGAGTTATACTATCCTCCTATTTCTAGCCTCATTGGCACATGGCAAAGGGAGTAATCTGGAGATTACATCCTTGGAGGTCCTGCTTTTTAACTTTTTACCTAACTCCCTAACCTGCTGCTGCAGGACCTCGTCACTCATCCTGCCTATGTCATTAGTGCCAATATATACCACAACCTCTGGCTGTTCACCCTCTCCCTTCAGGATGTTTTCTGCCCGTTCAGAGATATGCTGGACCCTGGACCAGGGAGGCAACACACCATCCTGGAGTCTCTTTTATGTCCACAGAAGCGCCTATCTGTACCTCAAACTATAGAGTCCCTATAACTACTGCTCTAGTGCTCTTTAACCCTCCCTTCTTAAGAACAGAGCCAGCCGTGGTGCCACCAGTCTGGCTGTTGCTGCTGTTACCCCCTGATGGTCATTCCCCCCACCAGTATCCAAAATAGTATACTTGTAAGAGAGGAGGACAACCACAGGGGATTCCTGCACTGGCTGCCTGTCCCTTCTGGGGGTCACCCATCTATCTGCCTGCACCTTGGGTGTCACCACATCTCTAAAACTCCTGGCTATGACAATTTCCACCACCCTCCTGCTCCTAAGTGCATCCAATTACCACTCCAACCCATCCATGCAGTCCGTGATGAGCTGCAATTGGATGCACTTCCTACAGATGTAGTTATCCGAGACACTGGAAGCGTTGCAGATCTCCCACATCTCACAAGTGAAGCACTTAACCCCACTGACTGACATTTCTATCCCCAATCAAGCTGTTTAGGAAAATTTATTAAACACTTCACCCTTACTTATCGCTGCAAATACCCAAGGTAGGTCTTCCCTCACTTACCTTCCCAGGATGCTCCCTGGATCACTCCCTTTCCCTTTGCTTCTCGTCCTTTCAGCGGTGTCTGTGTGCTTTTTTTTGGTTAGAGGAGAAGGTAGGGAGGGAAACACTGAGGAAGTGTTTGGGTTGAACTGTCATTTGACAACAGCCCCTCCACAAACCACCTTCTGGAAGTAGTGACTGCACTGATGCAGATCTTCCCCACGTCAGCCAATCATCGTCACCACTCTGCTGCCTTCTTCAATACCATTGACTGTCTGGAGTTAATTCTTAGATTCTCTTGTGTTTGATTGACCTTCAATAACCACAGCCATTTTCCTTGCTAAAAGATATGACTCCAACCAGCAGAGAGTTTACCCCGAATACTGTTGGCTCTTTGAGACCACACTTGGTCAAATGTGACCTTGCTGTCAAGCGAAATCATTCTCACCTCCCCTCTGGATTTGACAAGTTGAAAAGCAAGTATTTCTCCTAATTAGGGGAGTTCAGAATAAGGCATTGTTACGTTAAAATCAGAGCTAGACTACTTAGATTGAAACAAGGTACACTTATTCACAGAGACGATAGTGAAAATCTGGAACTCGCTACCCCAGAAACTGCCCAGATTGAGCATCAAATGAACCTTGATAGACATCAGCTAGGCAAGGTTATGAAGGATTAAGGAAGCAAGACAAATAAATGAAGTTGAATACAGATCAGCGAACTGAACAACAGAACAACTGATGACAGATGGGCTACTCTTGTTTCTGTATAGCAATTTTTGTAAATAAAAGCTAAATTTAAATTTGCGATCTTCGAGGTATTCATAAATTGTCCAGCTAACATAGAGTTCTCATCATTGGGAGTGAGGTAAGTTTTAATAAATCAAATGGATGAGTTGAAGAAGTGTGACTGGAATGCAATATTTATTTCATAGCAATGCTAGTGAGGTGTGCTATTTCTCATAGAACTTAATAGCAGATAATTGAAAATATTTGAGATTCCAATGGTCCAATTGAAAAGAGGTCAAAGCAATGATAGGGCTATTAGTTTGACATCTACAGTAGGAAAAACATTGATGTCTATTAAAAAGGAAGCAATTAACTCGTAATGGCAATAAATCCAAGCCAACGTGGTTTATGAAATGCAAGTCATGCCTAACTAATTCGCTGGAATTCTTTGAGGATATAACTGAACTAACAAATGCAATCCCTGTTCATTGTCTTTACTTAGAAAAGTCAACCCCTCCCCTTCTGCCTCCCACAATGTGCCTACTCTTGATGGAATGCAATTAGGAATGGAAGAGCAGGAGTAAAGCCATTCACCCCTTACGTTTGGTCTGTCATTCAGTTAGATCATGGCTGATAATCTCCATGCCATTTTCCTGGGCTAGCTCCATATCATTTGATATCATTTGTACCCCGATATGTATCAATTTGTGACTTGAACTTGACTCTCGGGTAGGGCATTCCATACATTCAATACCCATTCTGCTTGTTTTACTTTATTATTTCATGAGTTATGAATTATCAACAATAAGTAATGAGTTATCAACAAGTCCAGCATATGTTGCCTACCCATGAATACCATTCAACTAAATGGTTTGCCAGGCCATTTCACAGGGCACTTAAGAGTCAACTGCATTGCTGTGAAATGGAGTCACAAAGTGCCAGACCAGGTGAGGATTTTGTTTTTCTTTATTCATTCGCGGGATTAGGCGTCACTGATCAGGCAGCATTTATTGCCCATCCCTAATTGCCCAGAGGGCAGTTAAGAGTCAACCGCATTGCCGTGGGTCTGAAGTCAAATGTAGACCAGACCAGGTAAGGATAGCAGTTTCTTTCCCTAAAGGACATTAGTGAACCAGATGGGCTTTTCCCCACAATCGACAATGGATTCACAGTCATCATTAGATTCTTAACTCCAGATATTTTATTGAATTCAAATTCCACCATCTGCCGTGGCGGGAATCAAACCCAGGCCCCCAGAACACTACCTGGGTCTCTGGATTAATAGTCCAGCGATAATACCATTAGGCATTCGCCTCCTCACTAACAGACACATTTCCTGAAAAAAAAAATTAGTGAACTATATAGGTATTTACAATGATCAATAGTGACCACAATTACAAGATTATTTTTCAATTCCAGAACTATTAATTGAATTTAAATTTAAGACTGACAGGTCCCTATGGGCTGCTACTCTGCTTCCCAGAATACTAAAGAAAGTGGGTCTGGAAATATTGGAGGTATTGCTGGTCATCTTCCAATATTTTATAGACTCTGCAGCATAGAATCCCTACAGTGTGATTAGAAGCCGTTCAGCCTATTGAGTGGCACAAACCATCCAAACAGCATCCCCCAGACCCTCATAACCTGGCCTTTGTCTTAGCTAATCCACCTCACCGGTACATTCCTTGAACACCTTGGACAATTTAGCATTACTGGTCCACCTAAGCTGAACATCTTTGGACTGCGAGAGGAAACCCACACAGACACAGGGAAAACATGCAAACACCACAAAGACAGTTGCCCGAGGGTAGAATCAAACCCAGGTCCCGGGTGATGTCAAGCAGCAGTGCTAACCACTGAGCTACACTGTGCTACCCCAAGCAGTTCCTACAGATTGGAGGATGACAAGTATAACTTTACTATTTAAAGAGGTGGGAGAGAAAGTCTGAGAATTGCAGACCAGTTAGCCCAGCATCAGTAGTGGGGAAAATGCTAGAGTCTATTATAAAACATATAATAACAGAGCACTTGGACAGCTTGCTTTCTGTTTCTCGCTTGCTTGTATCAATATTCTCTTCACTTTTCATCAGTTTCTTCGTCACCCTGTGTTGGATTCTAAATTGCTCCTAACTATTGGGCTTAAAACATTTTGTGGCAACCCACTGAAGCCACTTCCTTTGAGCCAATGCAACCTTTAACTTTTTATTTGTTAGCATGATCGATTCACCTTTACTGTTGTATTTTTGTGTCGAAGAGGATTGTATATTTGTTCTTCACCTCTACTGAAGTAACAACCAAATGCTGGTGATAAAGGTCGAAAAAGAAAGGAGCATTTTCTTACCTGCTCCTTCCCTGAACTCCCTCACTCACTAAGCTCCCATTTTCTCGCTCAGTCCAAGCCACATTGTCAAGATGTCTGAAGTAACTGGTTACATTCTCAGGCTAGAGAATTAGACACTTAGGACTGAGACATGGAGAAAAAGTGTTGTGAACTTCTGGAATCCTCTACCACAAGGCCCCATGGATGATCAGTTGTTGAGTCTGTTCAAGATAAATATCAATGGAAGGGATGGTGATGGCTGAGTGGTATTATCGCTGGACCGTTAATTGAGAGACACAGCTAACATTCTGGCGACCCGGGTTCAGATCCTACCACAGCAGATGGTGGAATTTGAATTCGGTAATATCTGGAATTAAGAATCTAATGATGACCGCGAATCTATTGTCAATTGTTCAGGAAAAACCCATCTGGCTCACTAATGTCCTTTAGGGAAGGGAACTGCCATCCTTACCTGGTCTGGCCTACATGTGACTCCAGACCTACAGCAATGTGGTTGACTCTTAACTGTCCTCTGGGCAATTAGGGATGGGCAATAAATGCTGCCTAGCCAGTGATACCTCATCCCATTAATGAATAAGGGAAATATCAACAGATTTTTCTGTTCTAAGAATCCAAGGAATTTTGGATAATGCAGGACGATGTAGCTGAGGAACAAGATGGTGGAGCAGCCTCATACTTTTGATGGTCTTCAAATATCAAAATGGCCATTCTAATGTAAAGTTGGGTATTTTGAATTGGTGAGCTCTCTGATCATTGGCGCAGCATTGCTGATTCTTTGACATGTCATGGATCATTGTAAAGAATTAAGAAAGGGAACAACTGCTGGTTTTCAATTTACTGCTGAGGCCAGTTGTTAAATGGATTAATATGGATGAACTCAACAGGCATTGGGTAGTGAGCCTAAAGTCCGCTGGTCTGTATATCTTTGTTTTCCCCTATTGATTCATTAATTGATCCAAGATTGTTTCTTTGTAATGGATTGTAGATCACCTCCTTGATTGACAATTTGGTTATATTGATGATTTGTTTTTCTTTTCTGTAGTGGTTGAACCAGAGTCACAATGCCTGTGTGAACTATGCAAATAGAAACGCAACAAAGGTAAGATGGATTTGAAATGCCTCTGGTCCAGTGTTTCTAACACAAATCCTCACCTTCGTACCTTACAATATCTTATATATTTTTTGCTGGACAGGCTTTTCCTTGGCCATAGACCTATGTTAAGGTTTTGGCCATTTAAAACGGAGGAAAAATGTCTCCACTGAAGAAAATAGTTACAATTCCCAATTCCAAGGATCTGGGTCACAGAGAATTCAGTCACTGAGCTTTTATAAGCATGAGAAGTTGGGGGATAAAGGGATAAGAGGAGAGGGCGGGAAAGTGGAGTTCATGTAAAAATCAGGCATGTTAGAGTAGAATAGAATAGCAATTTGTTGTCATTTGTAGTTATAAAAATACAGTGAGATGTGTAAAGTTGCCACAATTCGGTACCATTTTAATATTCGGACAAAGTTCATCTTTTGTTTCCTCCATGGCTCCTGGGTTTCTGGAGTGCCCATGGGATGATGCAGCCGAAGCCATCCCTGAGACGCCAAAGCAAGGATTTCCAGACTGGACCTACCACATAGCCACCACCAAAACCAACACCGAAGCCACTGCATCACTGCCATAGCAAAGAGGACCAGACTGGATGCACCAAGTCGCCAACACTGAAGCCACCACCACTTCAGTCACCGCTCAAAGCCTCCACATTGTCACCATGGCCACAAGGAACAAATTGGAACCACCTTACCATCACCACTGAAACTGCTGCCAAGACGAATGGACCAGACCCACTGACAGTGAAGCCTTTGATAAAACCAAGGCCACTATGGCCATGAGGAATGAACATCATCCAGATCCACCATCCTCCTCCACCACAGCCTCAGAAAAGAAGAAATGATGAACTTTGATAGTTTTAGAGCTGTACCGCATGGAAACAGACCCTGCGGTCCAACTCATCCATACCAAACAGATATCCAAAATTAATCTAGTCCCATTTGCCAGCATTTGGCCCATATCCCTCTAAATCCTTCCTATTCATATATCTATCCAGATGCCTTTTAAATGTTGTAATTGTACCAGCCTCCACCACTTCCTCTGGCAGCTCATTCCATACATGCATCACCCTCTGCGTGAAAAAGTTGCCTGTTAGGTCTCTTTGTAATCTTTGCCCTCTCACCTTAAATCTATGCCTTGTAGTTTTGGACTCCCCCCACCCCGGAGAAAAGACCTTGGCTATTCACCCTATCCATGCCCCTCATTATTTTGTAAACCTCTATAAGGTCACCCCTCAGCCTCCAACTTTCCAGGGAAAATAGCCCCAGCCTATCCAGCATCTTCCTATAGCTTCAGCCCTCCAACCCTGACTTGGAACCTTGTAAATTTTTTCTGAACCCTTTCAAGTTTCGCAACATCCTTCCTATAGCAGGGAGACCAGAACTGCAGCGGTATTCCAAAAGTGCCTAACCAATGTCCTGTACAGCCGCAACATGACCTCCCAACTCCTATACTCAATGCACTGACCAATAAAGGCGAGCGTTCAAGCACCTTTTCAGAGTTGCTTTTCAGAATGGAGGCCTGTGACTAGCTGTGTGCCACAAGGTTTGGGTGCTAGGTCGACAGCTTTTCATCATTTATATACATGATAAAAAAGACAAATTAAGAAAAAAAACACAACATAAAGAATAAAGAAGAATGTCGCTGGCCTGGTGAGCAGGAGCATACAAACACAGAGCCCAAACACTTCCTACCCTGGCCTGCCGTCATTGCCATCTTTTTCACAAGCAGTGAGGTGATTTTCTCACTGTGCAGCAGCGAGTGGCCAATTAAGGGAGATTATTGCTTGTTAAACACATCATTAAAGGCCCAACTCCCCTCATTAATATTCAGCTTCTTACCTTATCAAACCTTTTGAACAACCTCATTGTTGAGAAAACTCGACATGGGTCCAGAATGTTGAGGCACGCGAGAGAACAAATTGCTGGAGCATTGACAGACATCTACGTATCCTGTTTGGCCACAGGTGATGTCCCAAAGGACTGGAGAATAGCCAATGTTGTCCCATTGTTTAAGAAGGGTAACAGCGATAATCCTGGAAATTACGGGCCTGTGAGTCTCATGTCGATGGGAGAGAAATTATTGCAAAAGTTTCTCAGAGACAAGATCTATACGCATTTACAAGCAAATGGACTTATTAGTGATCACAGCATGGTTTAGTGCGGGGCAGGTCATGCCTCACTAACTTGATCCAGTTTTTTGAGGAGGTGACGAAAATGATTGATGAGGGAAAAGCAGTTGATGTTGTCTACATGGACTTCAGTAAAGCCTTTGACAACGTCCCTCATGGCAGACTGGTACAAAACTTGAAGTCACATGGTATTAGAGTGAGCTGGCAAGATGGATACAGAAAAGACTTAGTCATAGGAGACAGAGGGCAGCGGTGGAAGAATGCTTTTCAGAATGGAGCATTGTGACTAGTGATGTTCCACAGGGATCAGTGCTGGGACCTCTGCTGTTTCTGATCTACACAAATGATTTGGAGGAAAACATAGATTGGTGGAGTTGCAGATAGTGAAGAGAAATGTCAGAGGATACAGCAGGCTATAGATCAGTTGGAGGCATGAGCAGAAAAATGGCGGATGGAGTTTAATCCAGACAAATGTGAGGTAATGCATTTCGGAAGGTCAAGTCCAGATGGAAATTGTCCAGTGAATGGCAGAACCCTTAGGAGTATTGATATGCAGAGGGGTCTGGGTGTACAGTTCCACAGATCACTATAGGTGGCAGCACAGGTAGGTAATGTAGTAAAAAATGCTAATGGCGTGCTTGCCTTCATTGGAAGGGGCAATGAGTATAACGCTAGACAAGTTATGCTGCAGCTTTATAGAACTTTAGTTAGGTCACACTTGGAATATTGCAAACCAATATTCTGGTTCTGGTCAGCGTCCACAAAAGGATGTGGATGGTTTGGAGAGGGTACAGAAAAGGTTTACCAGGATGTTGCATGGCATGGGGGATTTTAGCTATGAAGAACGGTTGGCTGGACTGGGTTTGTTTTCACTGGAACGCTTGAGGCTGAGGGGCGACCTGATAGACGTTTATAAGATCATGAATGCCATGGATAGAGTGGAACGTATGAGGCTTTTTCACAGGGTAAAGTGGTCAATTACTAGGGGACACAGGTTTGAGGTACAAGGGGGGAAGTTTAAAAGAGATATATGAGGCACATTTTTCACACAAAGGGTGGTGAGCACCTGAAACACGCTGCCAGAGGAGGTGTGGAAGCAGGCATAATAGCAGCATTCAAGAAGCACGTGGACGAAAACATGAATATGAAAGGAATTGAGGGATACGGATCCTGTAAATGAAGACAGTTTTAGTATGGAAGAGCAAAATGTGGCAACGGAGGCTTGGAGGGCTGAAGGACCTGTTCCTGTTCTGTATCGTTCTTTGTTCTTCTTCTTTTGTTCTTTGAAATCAGAGCAGGTATTTAGTGACCAGCTCACCACTTTTTCTGAAGAACCTACATGTTTCTCAGGGCCAAACAGCATCTCAGGGCGTAGAGATTGATATCCGGCATTTGCCAATCCCTCATGACCATTATGGCACCCTTTCCAATACCCTTGCAGGATGCTCAGGAAGCACAGACACAGGACATTGAAGCAACTAACACTGTAATGCTGCAGCAGGGACAATATTTGTGTGCGCAGACAGCCACCCAGCTCATGGACTGGACCAAGTTGCATCTAAGGGCTACTCGCTCTATTAGCCCTTGCTCACTTAGCACCTATCTGCATGCTCACTCAATCAACACTTAGCCTTTGCTTGCTTTGCCTTGCTATACCAGTTAGCACATTCCTAGATGAGGCAGCTTACCTTGCTGGTTAATACACTGGCGACAGGCATCTTGCTTAATGACAGTGTGTTATGTCAATCTCACAGCCGTACCATGTGCTAACAGTTTACATGGCAAACACACTGCATGTGCATCAAGCAGACAGCCATGCCTCAAAGCGTTCGACAGTCCCACCTAAGAGATTAATGTGCAAGATTAAGGTCCATGGGATTGGGGGAAGTGCATTGATAAGGATAGGAAACTGATTGGGAGAGAGGAAATAAAGAGTATGAATTAATGGGTCCTTTTCAAATTGGCGAGCACTAACTAGTGGAGTGCCACCAGGATTGGTGTTGGGACCCCAGCTATTCACAATAAATATTAATGATTTGGACGAGGGAGCAAAATGTAACATCTCCAAGTTTGCAGATGATACCAAGTTGGGTGGGAAGGTAAACTGTGACGAGGATGCAGAGATCCATTCAGCATGATCTCGACTGGTTGGGTGAGTAGGCAAATCAATGGCAGATGCAGTATAGTTTGTATAAATGTGAAGTTATTCACTTTGGAAGCAGAAACAAGAAGGCAGATTACTACCTGAATGGCTGTAAATTGGGAGAGGGGAGTGTGCAGCGGGACCTGGGTGTCCTTGTACACCAGTTGCTGAAGGTAAGCATGCAGGTGCAGCAGTGGTAAAGAAGGCAAATGGTATGTTGGCCTTCATTGCGAGAGGTTTTGAGTATAGGAGCAGGGATGTGTTGTTGCACTTATACAGGGCCTTGATGAGACCACACCTGGAATAGTGTGTGCAGTCATGGTCTCCTTTTTCTGTGGAAGGATGCTCTTGCTGTCAAGGGAATGCAGCAAAGGTTTACCAGACTGATTCCGGGAATGGCAGATTTGATGTAAGAGGAGAGATTGACTAGATTGGGACTGTTTTCAGAGTTCAGACGAATGATGGGGGATCTCATAGAAACTTATAAAATTCTAACAGGACTGGACAGGGTAGATGCAGGGAGGATGTTCCCGATGGTGGCTGAGTCCAGAACCAGGGGTCACAGTCTGAGGATTCAGGGTGGATGATTTAGGATAGAGATGAGGAGACATTTCTTCACCCAAAGAGTGGTGAGTCTGTGGATTTCATTACCACAGGAAGTAGTTGATGCCAAAACATTGAATGTATTCAAGAGGCAACGAGATATAGCACTTGGGGCAAATAGGACCAAAGGTTATGGGGAGAAAGCAGGATTAGGCTATTGAGTTGGATGATCAGCCATGAAGATTGTGAAGCCGTGAAGAATGGCAGAACAGGCTTGAAGGGCCAAATGGTCTCCTTCTGCTCCTATCTTCTATGTTTCTATGTAAAGTCTTAGGGGAGTAGTCCTCACTGAAGTCAAGAGAGGCATACCTCCCAGCACAGTGAATCAGGAGCAGCCCCCAATACCAGTCCGGGGATTCGTAATGGTCAGGCTTCTGATTACGGTGTTCTCAGTCAAAGGAGCCATGTGTCTGCAGTCCAGGGAATGGATCATGGTCAGTTCTGGGGCAATTGATAGTCCATAGCAGACTGTCCAGAGTTAGATGGTCAGGAAGATATGCAGCCACCAGTCATGCATCTAGGCACTTTGTGTCCAGGGCTCTCCTGTTAGGTTCCTTGAGGGCATGGGCCATAGCTAGGCTGTCTTATCCATCGAAAGGAATTAAGGGGAAAGGAGAATGGTGAGTGGACAAGAGTAACTGCTGAGGGAAGGAAAGTTGGCATGTTATTTGGGTCTGCAGGGAATGGAGATGTGGAGGGAGAAGCAAGGGGCAATGCGTATCTATGTATCATACATATAATATGTACAGTAGATGTACAATACACTGTCTGCAATGGATAAGACAGTAAAGAAGGGATTGGAAGGGGATCATGCGGGAGATGTGTTCCTCCACAATCAAGATAAAGGGGATAGCGTATGACCGCATCTGGCTTAGTCACCTCATATGTCGGTGACTGGGAGAAAGATGGACAGGTGCAGGCTCTTGTAGACGAATTGGGTGGTAAGAAGCTGATGAGGTTTTCAGGAAGGGCTAGCAGAAAAGGGATTTGGATTTTTGGAGGCTCAGCAACATGTTGAGGTGGAGGCTACAAGTTACTTGCATTGCATTATGCTGAAAATAGAACGTATGTAATGGAGAAGAAAATAACTGTGACAACACTTGGCGAGTGGTTAGGATAAGTGTCTCAACTGGAAGGGGGAAGGCTGCAAGATCCACCGACATCGGGGTGTTTAAAGTGAGACAACAATACAAACAGACCCATGAACTGTACAGGGCACAGACCTGTGTGGTCCCTAATCTGTATCCATCTTAATGAATTGCTCAGGGTTTGCTGTGCACTTTTTGCTCCAGACATCACTGGCCAGTTCATTCACATCAACTGTTTTGAACACAGAGGCCAAGCAAAGACCTAGGATTTTGTGGAGAAAGACTAATAGTGTCTTCATGACCCAAGCCCAGCATACAGCTTGTCCCTCTTGCTTCCGGATGCTGTAGTAGACCCTCAACACAGAAACTGATTTATGGTACATTCACATGACAATGAAGTTATGCTTCATGGTGGAAGAATTATATTTAGTGCTACTCAGAAAAACAAGCAACCAGATGTAATGTTAAAGCAGTGCTATTTATAAAATAGTGCCACATAATGCACAATACACTGTCTCTCGTGCCACCAAACTGCCTTCAATAAGTCTTCCTCTCCCTCCCACTGCCTCTTAGTATACTTCCTGGCTCTGTCGCTGGAGCTTAAGGATCAGCAAGGGCACCTATGTGTGGAACTGCAGGAGATGGGGAGATACTAAATTAGCATTTTGCCTGAGTATTTACTGTAGAAAAGGATGTGGAAGCTAAAGAACTTGGGGAAATAAATAGTAACATCTTGAAAAATGTCCATATTACAGAGGAGGTGGTGCTGGACGTCTTAAAATGCATAAACGTATAAATCCCTAGGACCTGATCAGGTGTATCCTAGAACTTTGTGGGAAGCTAGGGAAGTGATTGCTGGGCCCCTTGCTGGGATATTTGTATCATCAATAGCCATAGGCCAGGAAGACTGGACGATGGCTAACGTGGTGCCACAAGAATGGTGGTAAGGAAAAGCCAGGGAACTTTAGACCAGTGAGTCTGACATCGGTGTGGGGCAAGTTGTTGGAGGGGATCCTGAGGGACAGGATTTACATGTATTTTGAAAGGTCAGGACTGATTAGGGATAGTCAACATGGATTTGTGCATGGGAAATCATATCTCACTAACTTGATTGAATTTTTTAAAGAAGTAATGAAGAGGATTGATGAAGGCAGAGTGGTGGATGTGATCTATATGGACTTCAGTAAGGCATTTGACAAGGTTCCGCATGGTTGACTGGTTAACAAGGTTAGATCACATGGAATACAGGGAGAACTAGCCATTTGGATACAGAACTGGCTCAAAAGCAGGAGACAGAGGGTGGTGGCAGAGGGTTGCTTTTTGGACTGGAGGCCTGTGACCAGCTGTGTGCCACCAATCTGGTCAGTAAGTTTGCAGATGACACCAAAATTGGAGATATAGTGTACAGCCAAGAAGGTTACCTCAGAGTATGTTGGGACCTTGATCAGATGAGCCAATGGGCTGATGAGTGGCAGATACAGTTTAATTTAGATAAATGTGAGGTGCTGCATTTTGGAAAGGCAAATCAGGGCAGGACTTATACACTTAATGGTAAAATCCTGGGAAGTGTTGCTGAACAAAGAGACCTTGGAGTGCAGGTTTGTAGTTCCTTGAAAGTAGAGTCAGAAGTAGACAGGAGAGTGAGGAAGGTATTTGGTATTCTTACCTTTATTGGTCAGTGCATTGAGTGTAGGAGTTGGGAGGTCATATTGCAGCTGGTTTGGCCACTGTGTTCATTTCTGGTTTCACTACTATAGTAAGGATGTTGTGAAACTTGAAAGGATTCAGAAAAGATTTACAAGAAGTTGCCAAGGTTGGAGGGTTTGAGCTATAGGGAGACACTGAAGAGGCTGGGGCTATTTTCCCTAGAGCATCAGGAGGCTGAGGGGTGACCTTACAGAAGTTTATAGAAGCATGAGGGGCATAGATAGGGTGGATAGCCAATGTCTTTTTCCCAGGGTAGGGGAGTCCAAAACGAGGTTTAAGGTGAGAGGGGGAAGATTTAAAAGGGACCTAAGAAGCAATTTTTTCACGCAGAGGATGGTGCATGTCTGGAACAAGCTGCCAGAGGAAGTGGTGGAGCTTGGTACAATTACAATGTTTAAAGTGCAACTGGATGGGTTACATGCATAGGAAGGGTTTAGAGGGATATGGGCCAAATGCTGGCAAATGGGACTAGACTTATTTAGGATATCTGGCCAGCATGGATGATTTGGACCAAAGGGTCTGTTTCCATACTGTACAGGTCTGTGACTCTGTGAGTGAAGGGAACCTGCTTAGCTCTGGAGGTTTGGTCGGGTGATCCCAGGGGTATTTGTATCTGGATGGACCACACATGTCAAGGGCCTTCTTCACAAAAGCATGAGCTTCCAAGAGTTGGACAGGGCAGGCAGGGTTCTTTCCCTATACCTCTCCACCTCTCCATCACCTTGAATACATTCTTTCTTTGACCAAGCCTTTGGTCATCTTACCTAATGTGTCTTTATGTGACTCAGTGTCATATGTTGTTTATGATCCTCCTGTAAAGCAGTATGTAGCTTTGTATAATTGCTTTTTGCAGTTCCGAGTCAGATGTGGTATTTTCAACTGGTTTTTAGAATAATCATTCTCTCTCCTATCCCCAACCTTAACAGCCAACTCCTGTGTCTAAGTTCATCTTGGGTTACATCGGAGCAGTTACCAGCGCAGTCTCAATAGCAGTAAGTAATCTTGGCATTTCTATAAGTCCATTGTGAGCTCTCAGGTTTCTGCAGGCATGGAACACAACCGTTACAGATCAACCACTTTAGTCTGATTGCAGGTCACCCAACATAATTGAAACTGACACTAATAATGCACAATAAGGGGGTTTGATAGGGTAAATAAGGATGAAAATTGGTAACCAGAGAACAACAGAAGGTACTGGTAACTTAAACAACTAGAGAGAAGAAGAAGATGATTGATTTAATGTGTTTTATGATCTGAAAGGGTACTGGAAGTCATTTCAATGTAACTTTACAATGGAGAATTAGTTCAACACTTCAGGGAGTGGACTTTGAATAAGAGCAGAGCGGAGGGTTGGATTAATTGGAGACCTTTACCAAATGACCACCACAGCCAAATGGCCTCCTTCTGTATTAAATAAAAGCTGAAAGAACTGTGGATGCTGTAAACAGAAACAAACACAGAAATTGCTGGAAAAGCAGTTCTGAGGAAGGGTCACCGGACCCGAAACATTAACTTTGATTTCTCTTCACAGATGCTGCCGGACCTGCTGAGCTCTTCCACCAATTTCTGTATTTGCTTCTTCTGTATTGTATGATACGTCTATCTAACCAGCAAGAATTAGTCTAGTAATACAATGTCAATCCTGAACCTGGGATATATTCCTCAACAATCTGTCCTTTGTAAAGTCCCCTAAGAATTCCATATGTTTCATTAAGGTCTCCTCTCATTCTTCTAAACATGAGAGTACAAGCCCAAAGTACTCAACATCTCCTTATAACAAAACCCCTCCTTACCCAGGATCAAGTGAGTGAACATTCTCCGGATTGCCTCCAATGCCAATATATCTTTCCTCCCTGGAGACAGTAAGGACTGCAGATGCTGGAAGCTAGAGTCAATAAATATGGAGCTGGAAAAGCACAGCAGGTCAGACAGCATTCGAGAAGAAAGAAAGTTAATGTTTCAGGCCAAAACCCTTCATCAGGACTGGAGAGGGGGAGGGGTGCTCAGAAATGAATAGAGGGAGGGGAGTGGGGCTGGGGGAAGGTTGGTGAGATGGAGACAGGTGGATGCAGGTAGTGGGTTATTGTGGTTGGTCAGCGGGAAAGTTGGAGTGGATAGGTGAGTTGGAAGATGGACAAGTTGGGGGAGGAGAGATTTTGAAGTTGGTGAAGTCAATATTCAGGCCTTTGGGCTGTAATCTCCGAAAGCAAAATATAAGGTGTTCTTCCTCCTGTTTACATTTGGCCTCAATCTGGCAGTGAAGGAGGCCAAGGATGGACATGTCACCAAGGGAGTAGGAGGAGGAGTTAAAGTGGATGGCATCTGGGTTGGTTAGTGCATGCAGAGTGCAGATGCTCCGCAAAGCAGTCTCTCAGTCTGCGTTTGGTCTTCCTGATATAGAGAAGACCACATCAGAAGCAACAGATACAGTCCCCACAGCAACAGTCTGGGCCACTGGATCATTAGTCCAATGACAATACCACTGTCATCTCCCCTTATTGGGGCTTACAACCTCTCACAGTCTGGCAGCATTCTAACCTGAAAGCACAACAGGGAATCGTTTACTTCAGTTGAATGCTATAAAACCCACTCCATGTTCAGTGAATCATGTGTCACACACAAGATTGTTTTGTCAGTTTTAATTGCTCTTGTGCCAGTACATGGTTGTCCTTGAAATGGCCATGTTCTATTTCTCAGACTGTTTGTACACCAATTTGAAACTGTCACGAGGTGGATAAAACATGATTTAACCCATTCCCACCTGGAACCTATCTTCCTTGTTGTTATATTATTGCTTGCTGTTGCAACACCAGAAGGTTATATCAGCCATGGCTCAATGTGACAGCAACAGCCATTATGTGGCTAACATCCGGTAATCTAACCTTGCCTTGCAGTTTTGCCATAACTCCATATGTCAGCCATGCCTTTGTGTGTCTTTGCACAGCCTCAGCTTTAATACCTGAAATTATAAGTAGCCTGAAGTATATAGAGTCATAGAGTCACACAGCACGGAAATAGACTCCCTTTTGCCAGCATTTGACCCATATCCCTCTAAACCCTTCCTACTCACGTACCCATCTAGATGGTTTTTAAGTGTTGTAATTGTACCCACCTCTACCAGTTCCACTGGCAGCTCGTTCCATACATGCAGCACCCTCTGCATGAGAAAGTTACCCCTCAGGTCCTTTTTAAATCTTTCCTGTCTCACTTTAAGCCATGCTGACTAGTTTTGGACTTCCCCACCCGAGGAAAAAGACCTTGGCTATTTATCCTATCCAAGTCACTCATAATTTTATAAATCTCTCTAAGGTCACCCTTGAGCCTCCGAAGCTCCAGGGAAAAAAGTCCCAGTCGATTGAGCCTCTTCCTATAACTCAAACCTTCCAGTCCTGGCAACATCCTTGTCAATCTTTTGTGCACTCTCTCAAGTTTAACAACATCCTTCCTAAAGAAGGGCAACCAGAATTATATGCAGTATTCTAAAAGTAGCTTCACCAATGTCCTGTGCAGCTGCAACATGACGTCCCAACTCTATGCTCAATGTTCTATCCAATGAAGGTGTTTGTGCCAAATGCCTTCTTCACCACCCTATCTACGTGCAACTCCACTTTCAAAGACCAGTATCCCTGGGTGTCTTTGTTCGGCAACACTCCCAAGGGCCCTACATCTAGTGTATAAGTCCTGCCCTGATTTGCATTACCAAAATTCAACACCTCACACTAATCTAAATTAAGGGGCAAAAAACATTAGTAGGTGTCATATAGAGGCCCCAAACTGCAGTGGTGATGTTGAGAATGACATTAAACAGGAAATTAGAGATGTATGTGGTAAAGGAATATCGGTGATCATGGGTGATTTTAATCTGCACGTAGATTGGGTAAATCAAATTAGCCACAGTGCTATAGAGGAGGAATTCCAGGAGTGTATACAGGGTGGTTTTCTTGACCAATATGTGGAGGAACCAACTACAGAGCAGGCCATCTTAGACTGGGTACTGTGTAATGAGAAGGGAATGATTGCCAATCTAGCTGTGCGAGATACCTTGGGGAGGAGCGATCATAACGTGATAGAATTCTTTATCAAGATAGAGAGTGAGGTTGTTGATTTAGAGACTGGGGTGCTGAACCTTAATATAGGGAACTACAAGGATATGAGGCTTGAGTAGGCCTTGATAGGTTGGGGAGAGTTACTTAAAGGGATGACAGTGGATAGGCAATAACAAACATTCAAGGAATGCGTGGGGGAACTGCAACAACTGTTTATTCCTGTCTGTCGCAAAAACAAAATGGATAAGAGGACCAATCCATGGCTTACAAAGAAAATAAGAGGTAGTATCCTATCCATAGAAGAAGCATACAAATTGGCCAAGAAAAGTGCTAAATCTGAGGATTGGGAGCAGTTTAGAATTCAGCAAAGAAGGACCAAAGGATTGATTAAGGGGAAAATAAGACCATAGACATAGGAGCAGAAATTAGGCCATTCGGCCCATCGAATCTGCTCCGCCATTCAATCATGGCTGATAAGTTCCTCACCTAATTCTCCCGCTTTCTCCCCGTAACCCTTGATCCCCTTGATAATCAAGAACCTATCTATCTCAGTCTTAAATGTACTCAATGACCTGGCCTCCACAGCCTTCTGTGGCAGTGAATTCCATAGATTCACCACTCTCTGGCCAAAGAAGTTTCTCCTTATCTCCGTTCTAAAAGGTCTTCCCTTTACTCTAAGGCTGTGCCCTCGGGTCCTAGTCTCTCCTACCATCTTCCCAACATCCAAATAGAGTACAAAAGCAAGCTTGCAGGGAAGATAAGGAATGACGCAAAGAGTTTCTATAGGTATGTGAAGAGAAAGAGATTGGTAAAGACAAATGTAGTTCCCCTGCAGACAGAAATGGGGGAATGTATAATAGGGGACAAAGAAATTGCTGAGGAACTGAATACATAGTTTGGTTCTGTCTTCACAAAAGAGGACAAATCAGACACCAGAATTGTTGGAGGATGCCAGATTTAGTGAGAAGAAAGAACTGAGGGATATCAATATTAGTAAAGAAACAATGCTGGGAAAATTGTTGGGATTGAAGGCTGATAAATCCCCAGGGCCTGATAATCTACATCCCAGGATACTTAAGGAAGTAGCTGTCCAATATTCAAAAAGGAAGTTAGAGAGAAAACAGGGAATTATAGACTGGTGAGCCTAACATCAGTAGTGGGGAAAATTCTTGAATGCTTTGTCAGGGATTTTATAGCAGAGCATTTAGAAAGCAGTGGCAGGATCAGACAGAGTCAGCATGGATTTATGAAGGGGAAATCATGCTTCTCAGATCTGTTGGAATTGATGAAGATGTAACTAGTAGAGTTGACAAGGGGAAGCGAGTCGATGTAGTACATTTGGACTTTCAGAAAGCGTTTGACAAAGTCCCACATAAGAGATTAATGTGCAAGGTGAAAGTGCATGGGATTGGGGGAAGTGTACTGAGATGGGTAGGAAACTGGTTGGCAGGGAGGAAACAAAGAGTAGGAATTAATGAGTCCTTTTCAAATCGACAGGCAGTAGCTAGTGGGGTGCCACAGGGATCAATGCTGGGACCCAGCTATTCACAATAAATATTAATGATTTGGATGAGGGAGCAAAATGTAACATCTCCAAGTTTGCAGATGATACCAACTCTACCCCTTTTCTAGAATATCCAATGCTTAGACAAACAGACAAACAAAGTTAAGACAAGACATAAATGACAGAATCGCAGAATCGTTACAACGCAAAAGGAAGTTATTTGCCTCATTATGCCTGCACCGGCTGTGTTACCTAGTGGCAATATCCTGCCTTTTCCTTATATCCCTGCACACCATTTCTGACCAAATAATTATCGATTGTCCACTTGAATGCCTCAGTCAAACTTGGCTCCACCACATTTCCAGACATTTCTAAATATTATGGATTTGGAAGAAAGAAAAAAAAATGTGATGCACAGTTCTGGCACAAATCTGGATTACAGGTATAATTTTCCTTCTGATTCATTTTAACTCTTTAATGAGAACATCAGGTTGTGGACACACCAATTCTCAATCTTTCATTCACAGGATGAGGATTTACCCTTTCAGTGTCTTTGAAGATGTGCTGATACTTGAGCACTGCTACTTCTGAGGCTGTAACAAAACTTAAAGATTTAGTCAAATTACTCAATGTCCCCAATTTACCTGTCTGATGGACTCAGGTTAACAGAAAACACTGACCAGGTTTCTGAACTTCACAAGAAGTATTATTTATTTTAAATAGGTCAATTCCAACTACAGGCAAATGGAAATATGAATTATCAACATATAATTCTAGTCTGGAACTCTGTCCACTTTTTAAACCTCTGCACACAAGCACAGATAGACTCAGACAAGCAATAAACAAATATGGATGTTACGGGCGAAGGAAAACATTACCAATTTCCACAAAGTGTTCCTTGTGTGAAATTGTTTCACACTACTCAACCACATGTTAACTAATTAAACCAAAAATAATGATCATTCAGGTCAGGTTTCATTTTAGAATCTGACTTGTCGAATAGTACCATCAGCTATGATTATTAAACTGTTACAGTCAGTATTCCTCCAAATCTCCAAATACCTTGTCCTACTGTTCTTCCTTGCCTTCCCTGTCTGTTGAAATGAAGCTATTTTACATCATCTCCTACTGTTGCTCAGCTCCTAGGATTGAACTATTGAGTTTCTCCAACTCCCTCCCTTTTTTGTTTGCCCTTTGTCATCTTACAACCAAAGTAAAAATGTTAAAATCAAGGCTAATGACTGCTTACCAGTTTATGATGGCTTTCTTATTAGTATCCTGCACTATTGGTTTAGGCCACACACTTCTCTTCCATATCTTGTCAGGGAAGTAGATTTTGCAGCTTACAGATTATGGGGTTGAAATGAAGAACTTTGCATTTATCTGATGAAATTCAGAATCTGTCTGATGCATTACTTCAATTTTTATTTAAGGTAGGCCTGAATGTTTTCATCAAGAGAGCCAACAGATTTAACCCTGCAATCCTCTCACTCATCCAGCGGTTTGTGCCATTTCCTGCTGTAGGTACGTAAGACTTGTATTATCATCTGAAAGGAATGCTGAAAATAAGCATTTTTTAATCTCGCTGAATGCATTCACTTTTGTCCTGCAAATACATGGGAATTCCACCTTGTTGTCCCTGCTACCCTTTTTACACAATCTTGCACTCTCTTTGGCAGCCTGTCACTAGTTTCTCACCTGCTCCCATGTAACCATTTGGCTTATTGTTTACTTCCGCCTTTGTCAAGAGGAGCTTGCAAGATATAGTCCATATTTTGCAGAATTTCACATTTGATCTTAATCACTGCGTGGGGGGGCTGGTGTGTTTGTTGGGGAGATGTTGTGTTGTGAGATCTGGTTAGAAGATTACATCAGTTTTCTTGGTGTTCAGTAAAAGTATAATGATCCCATCTGGTGGGAATACTGTTCAAGTCAGATCTCAGAAACAAAATAAAACTTATTACACAAAAGAAAACTATGAACCATGTAATAATATACAACCAATAATATGGAACCATCCCATCTGAACATTAGAAAGAAAGATTCAACTTTTTTACCCCAGCAATACTTTCACAGACCTTCAAACCTCAATGAAGATCACTCTATCTCCATGCTAAAGCTTCTTGTTCAGCTGGAATCGTTATAATTGGTTTTCTTTTGGCAAATTGCTGTGCCTTCACTTGATAATATTTTCTTCAATTAATGTGCCTTCCTGAGACCATGAAACAAACTACTAACTCTAGCTCATAAGAACGTAAGATAATTCAGCTTCTCAAGCCTGCTCCATCATTTGATACAATCATGGCTGATCTCATCTCAGCCTCAATTCCACTTTCCTGCCCATTCTCCATAACATTTCAATCCATTACTAATTAAAAATCTGTCTACCTCCTCCTTAAATTTACTCAATATCCTGGCATTCACCACAGTCTGAGCAAGTGAATCCCACAGATTCACGACCTTCTGAGGGGAGTCATTTCTCCTCATCTGTGTTTTAACTCTACTGACCCTTATCGTAAAACAATGACACTTGTATTAGATTGCCCCATAAGGGGAAACATCTTCTCTGCTTCTACTTTGTCAATCCCCTTTAGCATCCTTTGTACCTCAATTAGATCTGCACTCATTCTTCTCACATCAGCTAAAGGTTCTTGAAGGAGGCCACGGTACACCAAAGCTCTTGCTGCCAAACAACACTTGTCAGAAAGTTGATGGGATGAACATCAGGTTCTATTTGTAGAATAATAGATTTTTTTTTTTACATACTAAGAAAAATAGAACTTCTTCCAGCCCAGACTGTTTATAGACTACTGGTAACAACCCCTCTGCTGTTAAGGACCTCTTCTTTCTGCATGAACCTGCTTCTGGCCTTCTTTCTCTTTCTCTCTGGAGGTCTTAAAAATTAACATCTCCCAAATGGCTTGCTGACCATTCAGCTGAAATTACATGCCTTCTTATAAGTACTGTTTTGAACTCAGAGTTCAGAATTACATTCTGACTTTGTTCATAAAAGTCAGATCTTCACAGGACTGAGAAGCTAAGTCTGTGTTTAATGACACCAGTGTATGCACACTATGTGTGGTTTAAATTTGCGCATATGCATTTAAGTGGATTCGAGGTATGTGAATGCAAGGTATGGAGTTCAGGGCACATGGAGTAGGGAGCAGGCTTTGGGGGGTGATGGGTTGGGATGGCAGGGAAGGAGCTCCCATCCATGTCTTCACTCCCCCACATCCTCACTTCACCTCTCACACAGTTGTACAGCACACACCCTTTGGTCCAACCAGTCTGTGCCGAACATAATCCCAAACTAAACTAGGACCACCTGCCTGCTCCTGGCCCATAAGCCTCCAAAGCTTTCCTATTCATGTACTTATTCAAATGCCTTTTAAACATTGCAATTGTGCCCACATTCACCACTTCCTCAGGAAGTTCATTTTACACATGAACCATTCACTGTGTAAAAAATTTGCCCCTCATGTCTTTTTTAAATCTGTTTCCTCTCACCTTATCAATGTGGCCCCTAATCTTGAAAATCCCCATCCTAGGGAAAAGGTACCTCCCATTAACCCAATCTATACCCCTCATTGTTTTATAAACTTCTATAAGGTCACCTCCCAACCTCCCACACTCCAGCGGAAAATGTCCCAGCCGAACCAGCCTTTCTATGTAACTCAAACCATGTCCTCACTCCCCCAACTTCCTCACCACTCTACCCACCTCATGCGTCCTTAATTCCCCTCCTGTCTCACATGTCATAAGTCCTAACTCCTCCCCCCATTCCGCATCCTCAGTCGTTCCCATAACCCCACTCCTTTCAGCTCCACATCACCCCCATTCCACCTCTTCATTTACCCCAGCGCCATCCCAATTCCTCACTCCCTACCATTGAATGCTGTTTCTTTCAGCACATACTCTGTGCAATCTTTGTGAGTGGCTTAATATATTAACTTACATGATGATGTAGCCAGGCTGAAATCATGCTCATGCGTGTTTCCAGTTCCATGCACATGTGCAATTGCTCACTATTGCGGGTGTCAGCAGATATTGCCATAAACTAAATCTATTTCTCCCCCATTTTAGAATTCAAGTCTCAAGTAATAATAGGATCCCTACAGTGTGGAAACAGGCCCTTCAGCCAACAAGTCCACACCGACCCTCAGAGAACCCACCCAAATCCATCCCCCTATAACCCACCAAATGTACAAATCCCTGAACACTTCGGGCAATTTAGCATGGCCAATCCACCTAACCTGAACATCTTTGGACTGTGGGAGGAAACCAGAGCACCCGGAGGAAACCCACACAGATAGTCACTGGAGGGTGGAATTGAACCCGGGTCCCCGCCGCTGTGAGACAGCAATGCTAACGGCCACCGTGCCGCCCAAAAAAAAGTAATAAATTATTAAGCTTCATCACAAACAGCCCATTTTCTCATATTCTTTGGAGAAGTTGTTGACAATGAGCTGAAGTTGAGTATCTGAGAGAGCACTCACACAAGTATCAGCTGAATCTTGGAGCTCATTGTCTGAAGTTGAAATAGTTTGGGTTTGCATTGAAAGTGGTGTAGGTTGAACCATTTCCCATCTATTCTGTAAATTATCTCCATGTCTGTCGGTAATTTGGTGAAGGCAAAGTACAGTATTATAATGAGGAAAATTGAAAAGAGGTTAATGCAATGACACAGCCTTATTTGGTCCCAGATTTCACTGAGCTAGCATTTGCAATCATTCTAATGGTGAAGATCATGGCTTGCATATCATAGAACAATAAACAGAGAATAGTGACAAATTTCTGAGGGTAACCAAATTTGAGGAGTATAAGCTTTCATGGTTGACAGGTCACAGGTTTTCTTGAGATTGACAAATAGGCATGTACAGCGATTGGTGCTATTCCTTGCATGGTCAGGGATCACAAAATTCATTCCCACCTCCAATATGCCAGCTTAACCTTTAACTGGGGCAAAAGAGTATTTGAGGACAAGGATCTCATATTCAAGACTAACATTCTGATTTACCAAGCATCATGAATCCCCAAGCCCGCATATACTTCCGAAACTTGGACAATCTACAAAAGACATCTCACAAAATTGGAGAAGCAGTACCAGTAGTGCCTTCACAGGATCTTACAAATCCAGTCACAAATCCAAGATGAAGGAACTGAGACATTGTTGCTTGGACACAAAGATAGATGGAGGGACATGTAGTGTTCAGGAAGCGGGGAGGCTGCAGAAGTGCTTGGACCGGCTAGGAGAATGGGCGAAGAAATGGCAAATGGAATAGAATGTGGGAAAGTGTAAGGTTATGCACTTTGTTAGGAAGATTAGAGGTTGGACTATTTTCGAAATGTGGAAAGGCTTCAAGAATCTGAAGCACAAAAGGTCTTGGATGTTCTAATTCAGCATTCTCTTAAGGTTAACATGTAGGTTCAGCTGGCAGTTAGGAAGGGAAATGCAGTATTAGCATTAATTTCAAGACGGCTAGAATACAAGAGGAAATATGTACTGCTGAGTCTGTATAAGGCTCTGGAATATTGTGAACTGTTTTAGGCCCTGTATCAAAAGAAGGGCGTGCTGGTATTGGAAGGGGTCCAGAGGAAGTTTACAAGAATGATCCCGGGAAGAAATGAGGAGCAGTTGAGGACTCTGGGTCTGTACTCAGTGGGGTTTAGAAGGATGAGGGGGGATCTGTTTGAAACTTACAAAATACTGAGAGGCCTGGATAGAGTTGATATGGAGTTGTTTCCACTGTTAGGAGAAACTGGGACCGAGGGCACAGACTCAGATTGGAGGAACGATCCTTTAGAACTGAGATGAGGAGGAATTTCTTCAGCCGAGGATGGTCAGTCTGTGGAACTTATTGCTACAGAGGGCTGTGGAGGTGACGTCATTGAGTGTATTTAAGACAGAGGTTTCTGCATGATCGAATTTTAGAGCAGACCCACTGGGCAGAATGGCCTCATTCTACTTCTATATTGTATGGTCTTATGGACAAGAAAAGTGGTCCAACAGCATCATTCTCTTGCAAACTAATGTGCCCCAGAGCGACTCACAAGTCTTTCAGAACTAGCTTCACTAGTCAGGGCATTTCATTTGGGTTCGTGATTCCAACCCCTGAAACAACTGCTTGACTCAGAATGCATTGAGGGCAGGACACTCCCAGAATAAAGATGGTAACGCTTTACCGATGTCCACAAAGCATCCCTGAAAAGTTCAACAACCCTCTGCAACTCATGGGAGTCCCTGGCATGTGATCAGCCAAAGTGAAGAAGATTTATTTGTTCACATCAAGAGACTTCTTTTGGAATGGGAAGAGGTGAAGTTGAGGATTTGGTGAGAGCACACAAGTGTCCAAATAACTTAACTACCTGACTCTGTAAGCCCTGCATGTAGTAGAGTCTACAGATTGCAGATTGGACTTCTCACCAAACTGGAGTGGAAGCCTTATGTTCTTAATCTGAAGGAACCACATAACAAGACTTTGTTCTTCCCTTTCTTTATCTCCCCTCACTTTCTGTGCACCTCC